CCTATAGTATGTTATCTTTTGTACATTCAAGCTATCATCTGAGAATTTATTCCTTCTTTTCAGAATATTAGGTAATCTTGTGTGTCTATGTTCCACCTTGGACATCCTGCCATAAAAACCAGCTCCATAAATGCTTTGGAAAAGTTGCAGAAGTCTGTTGGATGTCAAAATAATTGTAGGCAATTTTAGCTTGCCAGAAATAGGTTGGCATGCAAATACTTGTCCACCAAAGCTTCCATTTACTTTTCAAACTTGTAGATATTGGTTAGCTCAGTGACTAAAAGCGGTAGTATATTAGATTTAATATTAATATTACATCAATTAAGGGTGTCCACCTTTTATTTATGAATTTCCCTCCACATCTATTTGCAAGTGATCATGCATTAACTCATTCTTGTTGCCCAGTCTTCTCCTCTGCAAAGCCAAAAGTGGAACGTTTAAACCGCGACTTTTATTCGGTGAACAAGTAATAATTTCAAAATCGCTCTATATAGTTATACAAAATTTTCAAATAAAAATCCAGGCTTTTTCCACGATATATTACAAGACCTAATTGAAAATCCCCCAAGTTCATTCCACTAATGCTCGTTTCATTGTGTAAAATTTTCTCCAACGCCGAATTAAAAATTGCAATAGCAACTTAGAAATCTGCCGATGAACTCGTTAACCAAACGAAAAAAGTAACTAAACTCTGAAAGTCGTACACAATTCAGTTTGATTTACGCTCAGAGTTAATTTTAATAATGGCCGGCAGCTAAAAGTCTAAAGATTAATTCACTTCCTTGGATTATCGCTCTGAGATTATTTGAAGAGTGCTGGAAACGACCACATCCCATTCACCCAACGAAACATGACTGGTGGGTTTTAGTACAGTTATCGTGGCCCACCATGTTCTTTTTATGTGTTGTGTGGTTTGTTGAGTAACGGTCGAGAACGTAAGTGCTTCGTGGAATTTATAGGTGCCAGGCCGGTTCATAAGAAGGACTCATATATCTTCCGTTTGTTTGTACATTTTGGACATCTTAATATCACACAAAGACAAGATTACTACTATATTTATTGTAGTTTCTTGCACTCTACCTCTCAAAACCGTCCGCAATTAGCCTTAACAAAGCTACGAATGGATTTTAAAGCATGCAGATTGCTAGAGAATTCCCAAATAAAATATCTGCACAAAGCATAAGCGAAGAAAACCAATGCAGTATATCAGTTCCTTTAGTGAGAAGAAGTCCTCTTATTTGCGTCACTGCGACAGGATACAATCACGGCTATTAACTTAAAGGCGTCCTATGACAAGCCTAAAATCATTGAAAGGTTATCAAATCAGTCCCGTAGGGCCTGTTCTGAGCGCATAGCTAATAAGGCGAAACCACCGACAGGAATAGCTACTGTCTCGTCGCAGATCAAAAGCTCCGGAGATAGAAAGCAAATTACAAATCGCGGCTATCTTTACTGCTTTAGTCAGCGTTAATCGTTCTGGGTGTCTAATTTCTCTGCGTTTTTGATCAGTGAACTTAAAAATCAGATATGGGTTATCGCTATCACATCTGTCAGTGGTTCTTATTCAGCAACTATTCATGCTACTGTATGATCCACCCGATTACCACCTCCAGTTTTGGCGACACTGTTGCATTAACTTAGCCAATCGCAAGCGTCCACGCATGATTGGAGTGAGCATTCAGTGTCACCGGCACTTTCTGTGTAATCTCAGGTGCGCTCTGGTTTACGCCTTAGATCTGTTGGTGTGCACGCGTCATTCGCGTAATCGCGCTAGCGCTCACTGCTGACAAAACACTTACCCCGTTCTACTTCTTATTTTCCAGCATTAACTGAGATACTTGAACCCGATTACGACGCTTACTGTATGACATTTTTTCTAACTACTGTTGTTGTAGGATACTAAGCCTGTCTTGTCCGTGAATTTCCGATAGACTCTGAGTGCCGAGTTTTAACTTTAAGATGCCACGGTTAGTCACTGTCACGCCGGAAGCGTATCAAACCATGCTGTTGCACGCATTTACGCATGAGCGGGAAGAGGTCGGGGGTGTTTTGGTTGGTCAGGTAAGTGCCTTATCATCTTTTTTTCATATGGACTCTTTCGTAGGCGGATGAGAAACAGACGTTCGTGATCACCGTCATTCCTCTTAAACGCGCTTCCCAAGAGACCGAGGGAGAAGCAGTTCATAAGCAGCAGAGGTCCAGCAGAGTACATGTCACGGATGTTGAACTGGCTGAGTGTATCCCAAAATGTGAGGTAGGCATCTGACCTGCATGCACATAAATACGCTTTTCGAGCAACTCACACTTCACTTCAGTTTTCTTTTATTAATTCTGTAGGCAGTTTCCTTTGTTCAAAATATGGTGAGCGCAAATAACTCTTTACTGGTGATTATTTGACCTTCGGGAAGGAGTTAATTTAAAGTATTATTGGACTTCGGATGTGTCCTCCGTCCCTCAACCTACTGGATTCGATGGGCAGATAGAGCCATTATGACCGACATGGGGTCGTTAGGCGTAGTTGAGAAGGCAGAAAATCCGTCAACGCGTGCTTCACACGAATTGATCCCATCCGACTTAACTAGCTTTCACGTGAAGGAAGAGGCATCTACAATCTTCTCTGAGTAGAAATACCTGGAAGGCCCGCCCATAGAGGTAGAGTCTTTCCAGATTGAGTGTGTGTGTATCGAGGACCTAATTATTCTGTGATTGATCAAGCTTTTGGCGGGCTGTTATTTGTTTAAACATGTCAGATATTGTAGAATGAGGTATGCCCTGAGTGCTCATGGGACTTGATTCCATAGAATCGACTTCATTATTGTTTCCTTCTCTCTTACACCATTCTCCTATCCGAATCTGTCAGCGATCTCGTGCTGGGAATAGACGCAGGTGGCAGAATAACCTAGAACAGATCGTCTATATATACCATGCATGACCCAGTACGGTCTTAGGTTGCGCCGGGCAATATCTTCGCCCAGACGAGAACAGTGTATGTTCGCACCACGTATCCGTTGTTTTGATTCCGCTGCATGTGTGATTGGTGGGCTGGTATGCGGAAATGTGGCAATGGGGTTTGGATAACAGCATTTTAATGCAAATTTTTAGGTAAAGACATACAGTTGAGTAGGCCAGTGTGCGGTCAATCCTTTTCGGAAAACATGGACATCTTAATCAGATGTATCGTGCTGATCCAGCCAGTGATCTACCGAGC